AGGAGCTGGCTGTGCTGGACAAGGCGCGCCTGGAGCTGGAAACCGACAATCTCTCGTACAGCGAGAAGCTCAAGTGCCTGCAGCTAGAGAAGGAGAAGATCCTGCAGGACCTGGCCTGCATGACGCGCGAGAAGTGCGATGTACACAACCAGCTGACCGCCATGTGCCGCAAGAAGGAGACGATTAACGAGGAGCTGATGCGCACGCGCCAGCGGCTGGAGCAAACGACGGAAACCAACAGTCGGCTGAATCGCAACATCGAGGACATGGTCAAGGATGTGGAGGAGAAGCAAGTGGTCATTGATTTGCACGAGAAGGAAACGCATCGGCTGAACGAGCTGCTGGCCGCACTGCGCTCCGAGAAAGAATCTCTCGAGACGGTGCTGTTCGATACCAATACAACGCTGGAGGCCGTCGAGGAGAAGCGCAGCCAACTGGAACGTGATCTGCAGGAGGCGCTGGTCCGAGAGGAGTCCCTCAAAAACCATGTGGCACGTCTGCAAAAGGAGCTGGAGCTCTGCCAGCGTAAGGCCCAGGAGACGAAGACTCAGCTGCTGAATGCCGCTCGTGCTGCCGAAAGTGACTTCAACCAGAAGATTAGCAATCTCCAGGCAGCCGCTGAGGATGCAGCCAAGCGCCATGGAGACGAAGTGCTGCAGTTACGCAATGCTCTAGAGAAGCGCATGCAGCAGGCCCTGCAGGCCCTGCAAACCGCCAAGGACGACGAGATCGAGAAGCTGCAGGAGCGCATCGCCGCCTTGCAGGCGCACATCGAGAGCCTCGTGCAGCAGCACGAGGAGACGTTGATTCGAGCAGAGAACGAGAAGCAACAGGCGCTGCTCATGGCCCATCGGGACAAGCAGGCGGTGGCCGAACGCCTCGAAGCGGTCTCACGCGACCTGAAGACCGAGCAGGAGTCACTGGATCGCAGCAAGCGCGAGGCCAATGCCCGCGACGAGAAGCAGCGAGCGGCCATAGCCCAGCTCAAGGATGAGATTGTGCAAATGCGCACCAGAGAGGAGGAGCACAAGTAAGACTGTCCCAGCCATGCCCTAACTCAATCAGTTATGCATTTGTATACTCCCATAGAATCAAGCTGGAGGAGTGCATACGTAAGCAGGAGCTGCAACTGAGCAGCATTCGCGAGGAACGCGACACGATCTGCCGGCTGAGCGAGGAGCTGAAAATGGATATACGACTGAAGGAGGACAAAATCGAGGCAACCAATAATGAGCTGCAGGATGCGCTGCGCAAGACCAAAGAAGGTAAATGTTATYCTATTAATATAAAATATTATTATTAAATACTGTACTTAACTTATCCAGACTAGTCAAAATGATCTGGTTTGAGAAGAAGAAGACAAACCTTTATTGCAGATCGTAGGGCTTCCTGAGTTCAGGCTTTAGATGTTTCAACTGAACATTTCTTAGCTCCTTGTTCCCCTCTTCCCTTTTCAATATTCAGTCTACCCTTATTCCCAAGGGATTTTTAGAGTATTGATCTGATCTTCGAGAGATTATATAGATATAGATTTGATAATGAAATGTTGTGGCCCGCGTTGGGTTTCTTTTTCTTCTTCAATGAACGACTACTCGAAGAGCACATAGAATACATGCTGAATAAATCAAATTGTTAATCCTCTCCTTCCAGGTGAAGGTTACATTGACAGCCTGCGCAAGGAGCTGACCGACAGTCGACGACAGCTGGCGGATAGCAACATTGAGCGGGACAAGTACTCCGCTAGCAACAAGGAGTTGCGCGATCATGTGAAGCGTGTGGAGAGCGCGAAGCGGGAGCAGGCACGTGCCATTGAGGAGGCGCTTCAGAAGATTAACAATCTGGAGGAGGCCAAGAACTCATTGGAAATAGAGCGCACGCGCGTTAGCACCCTACTGAAGGAGACGGAGAACAATTTCACAAAGACCATGCAGGAGCTGAATGCCACCAAGTCGTCGCTGCAAAAGGCGCAAATGGAGTTCGCCCAGAAGGACGAGGGCGGCAAGGAGCTGCAGGCGAAGCTGTCCGCTGAAATTGAGCTGAAGGAACGTGCGCAGCAGGAACTGTGCCAGATCAAGAAGCAGCTGGCCGATCTGGAGGCAAATCTGTGCGCGACGCGCCAGGAATTGGGTCGTGCACGGTGTCACAACAACCAGGAGGAGCATCGCTTCCATGCGCGTGAGCAGGAGCTGGCCACCCGCATGGAGGAGGCGCGCGGGCGCGAGAAGCGCTTGGAGGATCAGAAACACAATCTGGAGGTGTGCTTGGCGGACGCCACGCAGCAGATACAGGAGCTGAAGGCGCGTCTGGGTGGCGCCGAGGGTCGCATCAGGGCATTGGATGAGCAGCTGGCCTGCGTGGAACTGCACAAGCGCAGCACAGAGCAGAAACTGAGCTCCGTGGTGCACACGCTGCGCCGTATTGCTGGCATCCAAGTGGATGGCAGTGTCAATTTGTCGCACCGCCTGCTGAGTCCCTCGCGCCGGTTCAGTCCATCGCGCAGCGTTGGCGAATATGACACACGCAGCACATCCCAATGCCCCGATGCGCCTGTCGATGTTGATCCGGATCTGGTGCGAAAGGGCGTGCGCAATCTGATGCATCAAGTGGCGCAGCTGGAGCGCGAGAAGGACGACTACAAGTCGCAGTTGGGCGCGGCCAAGAAACAGCTCCAGGATGCCGCCGAGCAGCAGATGCGCTGCGACGCTAAGATGGGCAAGCTGCAGGGCATGCTGCGCAACCTGCAGGAGGAGAAGAGCAATCTGGAAACGGATCGTAAGATGAAAATCTCTGCCATGAGCGCGCTCGAGGAGAAGCTGAAGCAGCGCACCGATGAGTGTCAGATGCTGCGCGAGCGCATTGCCCAGACCGAGATGCAGCTGGCCGCCACATCCGAGGACAATGCCCAAAACGAGGATCGCCTGGAAAAGAGTCGTCAAGTGTGCGCCAAGCTGGAGAGCGAGAAACGCGCGCTGCAGGAGGAGCTGGCCAAGGTGGAGGGACGGGCCAGTAAGCTGGACTTGCAGCGCGTCGCCATGGAAGGGGATCTAACGCGGCTGCAGATGGCACTTCAGGAGAAGGACTGCAACATAAGGCAAGTGACGGAGCGGCTGGACAACCAAAATCGTGCAATGGTCCAGCTGGAGGATCGCTGCACCTCGCTGAAGACCACTGTGGATCAGCTCAAGGAGCGGCTCCAGAAGAGCGCCGTCACCGAGACCCAACTGCGCGGCGAAATCAAGACGCTGCAGAAGGAGCTCTCCGAGCAGGGCCATTGCTCGCAGGCCAACGAGGATAAGGTAAAGCTGCTCCAGAAATCACTGCAAACGACGGAGAACGAGAAGCGCATATTGACGGAGCGCCTGGACAGCGCCCAGACCAATCTAAACGAGCTGCGACGCAGCCAGCAAGCACAGCTCGACGGCAACCAGCGGCTCCAGGAGCAGGTTACGGAGCTCGAGGTGCAGCGCTCGGCGCTTGAGTCCCAGCTGCGCATTGCCAAGTGGAATCAGGAAAACGGCGACAAGGATGCCGGCAATGGTGGTAGCGGCGTCGGCAGTTGCGAGGAGGAGGAACTAAGTCGCCAGCTGAAGTCGTCGCAGCGAGAGAAGTCTGAGCTGCGCAGCAAGCTGCAGGCACTGCAGGACAAGGTGAAGCAGCTGGAGTGCGACAGGAAGAGCAAATTCGCTGGGGGCAACGCCTACGATCGGGCTGAGAAGTCCAGCTCCTATTATGGTGGCGGAGGCGGTGGCGATGCCGGAGAATATGATTCCAATCGTTACGATGGCGGCACTGGAGGTTCCTATAGCTGTGGCCTGGACCACAGCGCCATTGAGCAGGAAACGCGTGACTTGCGCTTAAAAGTGCGTCGCCTGGAGACGTTGCTGGCGGAAAAGGAGTCCGAGCTGGCACGCTGCAAGGCACGCATGCATGACAGCTCCAAGTGCATGGATGGCATGGACGCGGATCGCTATCGCAGCGCCCAAATGCATGCCGAGAAGCTGCTAGATGCTCGCGAGCAGTCCCACAGGCAGCAGGTGCTACGCCTCGAGAACCAGGTGAGCCTATGCCCAGTTCGATGAGGTGAACAAATGTTCGACTCTATTCCTTTCTCTCATCTCGAACAGATCTCAATGCTGCGGGAGCAGCTGGCTCAAGAGGCTAAACGGCGACAGCAATACATTTTGCGCAGCTCCAAAGCTAATCGAGAGATGCAACATCTACGCAGCACTTTAGGTGATTCTCTGCGCAATGTCTCCCAGCATCCAGTGGATGCCCATTTGTTGGAAAGCGAAAGCAGACGGTGGGTAGCAATATATAAATTCAGCAACTTCCATCAATAAGAATCTACTCGAATCTATTTGCTTTTCCAGCTTGGACTCTGCAGTGTCCATGAGTCTGCCACCGTCGACGTGCCGTGATTACGATCGTGATTAATGGATTGTGCAATCGTGTTGTCATCTGGTAAATTGATCCCGCCAAGACGTAACGTTCACTGCCAGCGTTCGGCAAAGTACGTGCATTTATTTTGAGGCAAACGCTTTAGACTACTAAAGACATCGTATTCAAATAATATTTAGTTCACCCGCATCTGCATTCATAAATCTTGAAGTGCTTCAAGTACAATTCTAGCTGTTCATTGTCTGCCTTGTAGACGATCGAATATAGTGCGTTCCATTATCTCGCATCCTGAATTGGATACTCATTTATGACACACGAAAACAACAAAACATATTTTACAATATTCTACATTAAAGGGTCACAAGTTCCGCATCTCCTCGAAAGGCAGGAGAGCAAAGAACTGCATATATATCATATATGAGCTATAAACCAATCACATAATTATTTCATTACTAATATTGACATGGACACATAGGCAGCACAACACACATTTAAATTTAGCATACATACAAAAATATATACATATAAATATATATTTGAATTACAGTATGTGTTCAGCAACTTACAACAAATTTTATAAACTATATACAACAATAAACACGTCCAGTAACACAATAAATAAGTGCGTTTTATTTATTTTTTAAAAGTCTCTCCAAGCACTCAACCACGACTTTCATATTCGCCTTTTGTGCCGAGAGCTTCGCAACTTCACCAACAATGGCATAAAGGGCTTTCGATTTTCCCTTTTGGTATTGCTGCACTGTTTTTGGCTGATTGGCAATTGCCTCACGGCAATAGGCCTCAATGGTGTTCAGGTCGGAAATCTGCTCCAAGTTGTTTTCTTTAACCAACTGCAAAGCGAAGTAAAAGAATATATATTTAAAGCTTTGAGTGGTGAAACCTCTAAGTTTTCTCACCTGGCTCACGTCGGCTGTAGGATTCGTGTGTAAAAGGGGAATAAGTTGGCGAGCTGCTTGCAAATTGATTTGGTCAGAGTGTAACGCTTTCAAGACATCCCTCAAGGCGTTGGCACTGATGGCACTACAATAGAAACCGAAAACAGTTTGCATGAACTGAAAGCATACGCTAACATATATAATACATACCAATCTGCTATGTCCAAACTGAGCTTGTTGCAGTACGACAGCAAATCGTTAATAAGGAAATTTGTAACCACTTTGGTTGGCATATCCGGTAGACTCTTGGTAATGCTTTCAAAATGTTCCAGCAGTATGGGCTCGTTCTAATAGAATAAACATCAAAACAAATTTTTGCTAAAACCACTTGCCATTTTGTAAAGCTTACCACCAAAATGATGGCTGTCTCTGCATTCAGTTTGTAATATTCCATAAGGCGTTGACGCGTATGTTCAGGCAATTCTGGTATTTCCTCGCTTAGCGCAGCTACTGATATCAGGTCTTCGGTTGACCTTGAACCCGGCTTGAGGTTGACATGTAACGGTGGCAAATTGGGCTCCGGCATAAATCGATAATCCTGCAGCACTTCTTTATCACGCATCGCAATGGTGCGTCTTTTGTCCGCATCCCATGAACGGGTTTCATTTGTCACAACGCCGCCATCGGCAACAAGCTCCAGCTGGCGATTTATTTCGTAAGATATTGCCTGGGATATGCTCCGAACGGAGCCAATGTTCTTAACCTCTGTACGCACGCCTAAAGGATCGCCCTCCTGATGTACTGATATATTGGCATCTACGCGCAGTGCGCCCTCTGGAAAAGCAATGTGAGCATCAAAAGCATTTTGGCAGTTGTGTTAGGCACTTACCTTCCATTTTACAGCTACAGGTCTGGAGTCGTTTCAATATAAGCATTAGTTCTTTCACTAATGATGCAGCCTCCTCGCCCGTTTCTAAATCTGGGCCAAATACCAACTCCATTAACGGCAACCCAGCTCGATTCAGGTCAACTAAACTCCTCTTCAGCTGTTCATCGTGCAGCGATTTGCCACTGTCCTGTTCCAATTGCAATTGCAACAAGTTGACAGACTTATAATAAATCTTCTTGCCCGGTGTTATGACTGGAAATGTTATTACTCCATCATTTGCGAGAGCAGCGCGTTGTTGGGTAATTTGGTATCCATTCTAAGAAAATTCAAAACGTTTGCATTTCATTGTGATGTGATAAATTTGACTGCTCACTGGAAGATCTGCATAGAAGTAGTGCTTGCGATCAAACATGGACACTTCGTTCACCCGACAGCCTAGTGCTAATGCAGTTTTAATTCCAGACTCTACGCATTTTCTATTGAGAACCTTAAATAGAATATTTTTTTATTAGCTTACACAGAGTAAAAACTGTAAAAACTTACCGGTAGGGTACCTGGTATAGAAGCGTCAAAATAGGCAACTGCTGTGTTGAGAGGTGCTCCGAAGCCGGTGCCACTGCCGGAGAATAGTTTTGAGGCGCTTGCTATCTGTGCGTGCACCTCCAAACCAACCACACTTTTCCACTTTCTGCATCAAAACATATAAACATATTCAAATGGGATGTGGGACACTATAAACAGTAAACTTGTATATTTACCTTTTCGCTGCATTGGCCAATTTGGGCTGCGTTGCCAGTCGACGCACAATCATATAACTCCCCATTGAAAATTCCCTTTTACCGGCTGAGATTTAATAATATTAACAGCTGGGCATCAGGTGCAATGCCTAACAACAATAATAGGTATTCCCTCCACTCTATTGATGTAACTAAAAAATCGATAGAAGGTGCAACAGCTGTTTTTCATCAAGGTATCGAATTTAGCCTGTAGAGCGAATTTAGCGCAATCGTACTTTACATCTGAATATATATGTGCGGTTATATTAAAAAAGATTTTTGTATAAAGTAATTTTTCTCTGCGTTTATTTTAACAAAACAAAGATATATTATTACTGCCTACCAAGTCCTGATACACATTCCCATATTATATTCTACCAGCAGTAAGAACATCCTCAATACGAAGACCAACTGTTGAGAACAGCTGATATTGGTTAGCGTGTCACGAATCAGCCGTTTAATATCGATAGCTAGCATTTAGTTCCGATATTTATGGCACTTACGATAAATCAAAATATCACGAAGGCGAAGTGGGCTCATTGGAAGAATATGGAAAAGTTGAACATTACTGCTAAACTAAGGTAGAAAAACACGCGATAACATTTTTAATAAAACATGTGAAAAAGATGAAACTAGAGGTAAGCACAACTCTTGCATTATCCAACGCAACAGGATGTTTGAATACACTTGACGAAAAATGTGATGCAAATTTTTGTATATCACAGTTGACAACAACGACGACGAAGAAGAGAGCAAAAAGCACACGCAGCGCAGCAAAAGTAAAAAACACGACCAAGAGACCACGACAACTTCGACGACAACGACGACGACGACGGCTACAAAGTACTTGGAGTGGTGACCACTACCAGGTCGCTACGCCAACGTGCAGCTATAGGTTAAAGGGAGAAAAACAAAGGCTACCGATGCAAATAAGGAGCTAATGCTGAAAAATCAATCAAACAAACAACGCACCACATGCTGTCCGTTGTTGCCACTCCACATAGCTCAGTCACCAATATGGATTTCGATAGGACTATCTCGGGTTTGGAGTCAAATCAGACATTTGAAAATGAGGAAGCAAAGAAGAAACTTGTTGAACTTTTCACCCAAAGTAAGTAAAAAGAAGTTTACCAATATCCTAATACTATTCGAGTTTCCCATTCAACATAATAGCTAGGGAACAATGGCCAGTGCGCTACATGCTAGATTACTATTTAAAAACTGGCTCAATGCGCATTATGGAAGTGCTGGTGAAGGCGCAGCCGCCACATGATAGCTACATATTCGATCGTTTGGACGACTGGCTCAAGCAACAACAATATCGCGTGCAGGCGTTGAATGTATTTTGTTTTATTGTGCGACGCCATCCCACCTGGCTGCACAAAATCGAGAAGCATCGCCTTATTAAGAGTGTCTTCAAGCTGTTGACGGTAAGTGAATTTGATATTGCTAACCGTTCTTATGTACATGTGTCATGCATATGATCCTTCCAGCACGAAAAGGATATTGTGCCCTTAATGAGCGCTCTTCTGTGCATAATTACGCTGTTACCCATAATACCGAACTCGGTGCCGAATTTTTTGAATGATTTGTTTGAGGTATTCGGGCATTTGGCTTCGTGGAAATTTCAGAACGTGAATAAGTTGCCAGACGATAAGGTCGTACATCTACAATTGGGCTTGCAAATGCTGTTCCATCGACTATACGGCATGTATCCGTGTAATTTCCTGAGCTATCTGTCGGAGTTCATCAAGAAGGACAAGGGAAGCATTTTTCAGCATACGATCAAACCGTTACTGGACACAGTGCGCGTCCATCCGATGCTACTGACGGCTACCACTGAAACGGAAGTGAGCAACATGCGCTGGAAGGAAATGGAGCCACACGATGTGGTCATGGAATGTGCACATTTGTCGCTGCCTGTACTGCATCCCGACTCCACTCATGAGGATATCTCGTCCGCCTATCCATGTAGTACGCCCAGCTTTAGTCGCATGACCTCGACCACGTCCTACGGCGAACAGCACAACAATGTTAGCAATCAGCTTAACAATCAACATCTAACTGCGGCACCTCTGAGACGTTTTGAGTCAAGTATAGCTGATAACAGCAATACACCAATCTGGAGTCCACATAACGAACTAGCACCTGCTACCGCCAGCTCGGCTATGCCGCTAACTCCCACACCGTTTATAGTGCCGCCCAGTAGCACTGCTCAGCTGCTTGTTGCGACAGGCTCCTCACCGCCAGAGGCGGCTGTGGAGGCCACGCCAGAGACTACGCCGCTGAAAGATTTGCGCGACTTTAAACAACACCAACAGCAGCAGCAGGTGCCCAACTCACATACGGTGCGAGCTATTTTTGCAAATAGTCAGCCTTCCTCTCCGATGCGCAAGGATCACCAAAGCCAATTCCACTTTCCTGACATAAGCAAAATGCAGCCAACTGCTGAACTTCCACAGCTTACAGATCCATTGCTAACGGGAGGACCGCATCCTTCAACGGTGACACTTTCTGAGACCAAGGATCTAACTGTCAGTGTCTGTGGCGAATGCAACGAAACGGATCGTAACTTATGTAGCGATGGGGGTCTTCATATGCCAACCAACCGTACCATTCAGCAGCTGGCCAAGGGCGTTAAGCGGAGAAATCGAATGGCCAGCTATTGCTGCAACGAAAGCAGCTTCACCAGCGGCTGGCATAGCAGTGCAGCATCAAAACGGACAACAATGCCGAACTGTCCGGCGGATAACCAAATACGTCGCACTAAGTCGTGTTCGGCCTTGCCAAGTCTACAGCAGCAGCAGATGCACGATGATGATGACGAAGCCGATTGTCCGACTCTGCCACAGAATAATGGCAATGGGAATGGAGTGCATAATACCGTGCAAACACAAAAGACTGTGCTGGCTGGCACCCGACTGCAGCGTAGCGGTCGAATGCTGGCCCTGGGAACACCCAAAAACGCGACCGGCACTTCATACAAGTCGAAGGAGGTACAGACATTGGAAACAGTGCCGATACACTATGAAGAGTTTCTCTTTGAATTGTTGCGTGAGTGCAAGGATCAGCGAAACAAGCACGAAAGAAGTCAATTTAATCCGCAGGAGATACTCGATCAGTACATAATGCGCTCCATACACGCGAAGGAGAGCTTCGATTCGTCGAGCAATCTCTCAACGCAGCAGGAGCAATGGCAACTGATGTGCCTACAATTGCTATACGAACGGTATCGTCGCAGCATTCATGCCGAGCGTAATCGCCGCTTGATGGGACGTAGTCGAGACAAACGCAGCCTGGAAATGGAACGGGATCGTTTGCAGGAACAACTGAAAAACTTTGACGTGAAGAACCAAGATCTTGCTGCTAGAATCGACTTGGGAATTCGGCAATCGAATGAGCAGCTAAACAGCTACATCCAACAGCTGGCCGACCTCAAGTCTAAATATCAGTACGAGTTGGATCAAAAAAAGTGTCTGCGTCAGGCGAATGATGATTTGCAGACGCGTCTCAATGCCGAGATGTTGCAACGGAAAGAGATGAACTACGAAGTGGAGTTGCTTCGCGGTCAAATATTTACCATGACCACAGAATTGCAACATGCCCAGCAGCAAGCGGATCTTGGACAGCAATATAAGCAGGAGCTGGCGCGCTTGGAGGCAGAGTTTATTATCATGGGTGAGGTGCAGGTGCGATGTCGCGATCGACTGGCAGAGATCGATAACTATCGCTCTCGCGACGAGGAGCTAAAGTTGCTCCAAGAGAGCTTCAATGCCGAAATAAAAGGTGAGTTTTAAAAATATTTAAGCCATATTAAACTGATCGCAACTTTCGTAACAGATCTGAAGCATAACCTGGACGAAAAGACTTCTTTACTCGAAAGCACCAAGCACAAAATCAGCGAACAAGCGATTCAATTGGGCATCAACGACAAGGTTATTGCGGAGCAGAAGCGTTTGTTGCGCACCGTCAAGGATGAATATGAGGAAATGCTGAAGGTAAGCCTCATAACTCGCCGTCTTTTGCTGCTTATATAACCTATGCTCTTGCAGTCGGTAAATAAAAAATACGAAATTCAAAAGAAGATCATCATACAAATGGAGGAAAAGCTTATGATGTCGCTGCAACACCCACAGGGTGCTGTTGGACACGCAACTTGCTCGCCGGATACTGACCGAACTGGTAGGTCTACATATTAACGAAACCAATTTTATTTGTTCACAAACATATATTATGTTTCGATTCACAGATATCGCCTCATCCATGGAACGAAACTCGCCGCTTTCAACGTCGCTAGCATCTAGCGAGAGTCTTTCGGCCAGTCTGCGTTCCACAGAGCTGAAAAATCTGCAACAGCTGCTTGAAACGCCGGCAATAGCCGAAGTATCGAGCCAAAGGGCCGGTGGTGCTGGCCCGAGCTCAGGCACGGGCGTCTCATACGAAGACAATGCGAGCATGTCGACAGTTGACTTGGCCTCATCAGCGGGCACTGCTAGTGCCATAAACATAATGCAGACGACAACGACGGCAGCACTGTCGCAAGAATTGAACCTGCCAACGACATCTAATCACACACACGCCCACCCACATTTACACTTGCAACAGCAGCAAGAGAAGCAGCAGCAACCGCAGCAGCAGTAGCCACCGCACAGTCAGCAGTAACAACTGCAGCAGACTATATGTTTGCAACAGAAAGTACACAAGGCTGTCAATTATATAAAAAGAAAATCAACACATGGTCGACGGAAAGGCAAGCATCGGCAAAAACTATTTAAATATGTTTAAAAAATAGCTGCAAATATCTCTAATTTTTTTTTTGTCTCCACTACCAAAAATAATTAACGTCGGATTATGAAACGAATTGTTCAGGGTTTTCGCATTCAGTTTAAAAAACTGTAACTAAAATTAAATAAAACGCAGACTTCGCGCAATAATTATAACGATTATAACCGTTTGAAATTTTAACTTGTTGGCACATTGCAATGTGTTTTGTCGTATAAATTGTATAAAAAAAGAATATAACGAAAATAGGTTTTGATATGATGAAACATTAAATGAAAATAATTCATGAGCATATTACTCCATAGTTTTTTTTCTTTTTGGCGTGCATAATACAACTACAAATCTTTAAATGACTTAATTATTAATATAATTTTCACACATATATATACAATTTTTTTAAATAGCTAGCACTGCGTTTAGTAGATTTAAAAAACTATTCAGGCGCGATAGCTGTGTAGCATTGCCAACAGCAAGGCCGGAGTCGATGCATATAGTTGGCAGCACCGATAGAAACAGTTGGCAGCGCCAACAGCAACAGCAAACAGCTGTTATATGATCTAAAGTTAGCAAGAAGAAGAACACCGCAACAATCAGTCGAAAACGCCTCAAAAACAATCAAATATGTTGTCCCAATATATGGAGGAATTCGAACAGGTGTGTAAAGATTAATGGAATATGCATAATACATACTACATAGATCGAAGTTTTTTAATCTAGGAGCCTTTTGAAGTGGGCGAATTCATTGAAAGACTGACCTGGCGCACCAACAATGAGTTGCAAAATAGCGAAGACTTCAATCCGGTGGCATTGCATGACACATTCATACAGACTATTAAGGATCTGAAAATACTACAGGAGAAGCAGCAAAGTAAGTGCGAGCGCTTGGAGGAGTCCCTGCGACAAGAGGAGGAGTCACATGCAAAGAAAATCTCGAAGCTGCAAGAGCGACACCAAACGGCCATCGATTGGTTCGGTCAGCTGGATGAAAAGATTAACTCTGTGGCTGGCAAGATAATGCATCTGGGGGAGCAGCTGGAAAATGTGAATACACCTCGCAGTCGATCCGTCGAGGCACAAAAGTTGCTCAGCTACATGTCTGAATTTCTAATGGCCGGGCCCGTAATAGTGAATGATATATTTAGCGATCCGGTGCGCCTGAATGAAGCAGCCGATGTGATACAGAAGCTATATGCAATTTCACAGGATCTACCACCTGGTAGTTTTGCTGAGTCGAAGCGTAAAATCGAGAAGAAATACGATGAAGTGGAGCGTAGACTTATCGAAGAGTTTGCCACGGCACAAAAAAGCGAGGACATTGAGCGTATGAAGTCCCTGGCTCAAATTCTCTCCCAGTTCAAGGGCTACACTCAATGTGTCGACGCCTACATCGAGCAAAGCCAAATGCAGCCGTACAGCGGCAAGGATATATTCATCGGCATTGTGCCCATGTGCAAGCATCACTATGAGATCATCAAGAAGGTTTTCGCCAATCCGCAGCAAGTCATGTCCAAGTTCATACTGAACATTTATCAATTAAAACTTCATCAATATGCGATGACCAAGCTGGATGACAAAAAGGACGAAGAAAAGTACCTGCGTACGCTCTATGAGCTCTATTCTCGGTTAGCTAATAGAGTGCTAATAATCGTATTCACTAATCCAAGTAATAATTTCATATTTGCAGCACTCTGAAATTGTCCAGTGATTTACAAGTCTACATGTCTACCATCGATGACGATCTGCTGCAAAAGCTCACACAACAAATCTTCATGAAGAATCTTGCCGGCTATGCCGAAATTGAGCTGAGATGCCTGACAGCCAAGTGCTCAACGGAGCTGGAGAAATTTTATGCCAGCAAAAAGCACCAGAAGACGCAAACCACGAAAGGTTTTCGTCGCAACATGGAGGTGCTGATTGCCACGCGAGCCAACATAAATATAGCTGCCATTGAGGATTATGGCGGCGAGACGTTCCTCTCAGAGGAGCTGGCCATTAATATGCTGCAAGAGGCTAAGGCATCGCTTAAACGCTGCAGGCTGTTGTCCAGCGAGGCTGAGCTGCCTGGGAATGCCATCAAGTTAAATGACATCTTGCTACGCTTCCTCATGCATGAGCATGTTGACTATGCGCTGGAGCTGGGCTTGCAGGCAGTGCCGTTGGCAGAGGGAAAAGTATTTCCACAATTGTACTTCTTTGATGTGGTCCAAAAGACCAATATCATTGTGCATTTGCTGGACAAACTGTGCAATTCGTCGGTTATACCCTGCGTTAGGTAACTACGTAAGTTCATAAAATATACCTAATACTAAATATTGTTTGCCTTTGCAGTAACACACCGAAATACTCAGATTATGTATTCAAAAAACGGATATTGATGGAACAGATTGAAACTAAGCTGGACCAGGGTCTGGATCGATCCATAAGTGCAGTTATTGGCTGGGTTAAGGTCTATCTGCAGTACGAGCAGAAAAAGACAGACTACAAACCCGAAACAGATGTCGACACCATCTCGTCGGCCGTAAGAATATGACCATGAAATTATATCAAACACAATTATTTCATATCAGTTATCATCCATATCAGGCTTGCCTCCAAGTGGTGCAGAATCTGCAGCCGGTTATTGTACAAATAAAGAAGTGTGTCGATGGCGAGAATCTGCAAAATGTGCTGACAGAATTCGGAACGCGCCTGCATCGCGTCATCTACGACCATTTGCAAACGATGCAATTCAATACGGCTGGCGCCATGTGCGCCATTTGCGATGTGAACGAGTATAGGAAATGTATACGTGAGCTGGACAGTCCATTGGTGACGCAGCTTTTTGATATACTTCACGCTCTGTGCAATTTGCTATTGGTAAAACCCCAAAACCTTCAAGAGGTGTGCACTGGCGATACTCTGGTATGTGTACTGATATCTCTATATCGCTTTATGTCTAATTTTACACTTTTTGTACATTTTTGGGAACAGAATTATCTAGACAAGTCGGTGGTGCGTCAATTCATCCAACTTCGTACCGACTTTCGTATCATCAAGAACACCAATTATCTAAAGGGCATCATCGAGTAGCACTATTGCCAGAGGCCAATCCATTGCTGACTCACATTCCCTAATGTATCCCTTACAATTTATTTTGTTTGTATTACTTTACATAAACATAAACATACGATCAAAACAAACAATATACCAATATTATATTATATGTGCTTAGCTTACATCTTTAACGTTTCATTTTTCAATTAAAGTCAAGTGCATCATATTTTTATCTGTTCAACAGCTATCATATTTCATTTATTAAAGATTTCCTCATGTCCTAAATACTGTGAGAACGTCCCAATAGTCAATCTATGTATATTTATCAGTGAATAGTTGCTGTACTTGTCTCACTCCATCGCCGGTGATTCGACAATAGCTCCCGTTCACAGCCAATAAATCAAAGTTTATTGTTTAAGTATACACAAATTATTTATTTCTGTGTGCGTTTAATGTCGCTCGCCTAATTGCAGATAAAAAAGCTACCGATTGGCGCCAGTCGATGGCTAACATTGCTTCGACAGTCAGTTAAATCAGTCACCTGCTAGCAGTGTAGCTAAACGTATCACACTTGGAGTATACATACGAGGCGTTGCCTGTCGCGTGTCTGATTAAACTACCGCAGCATTATCGTGAGCCTTTGTTATTGTCTTAATCAATTTGCGGAGCCAGTCAAACAGTGTGCCATATATTCTAATCAAAACGATCTTGTACCACAATCGATTAAGCCATGCGCGGCTTTTTTGTTTACTACCTGAAAATACTTTGGGCTTTTTTGGTTATTAACGAATCGATCGCTAGTGTCATAAAAGTCAATCCAGAAAATGTATATAAGAAGATACTATCGTTGCGCTCGTTGCCCTTCGAGGATTGCGGTGAGTACTTCGATAATCTTTAGTGACATGGACTAGGCCGGTTCCAGGAACTCTATAAATGATAGAGTGTCTCTATAAGCTGATGATGTTCGTGCTGAAATCTAAGCTGTATTTATTTTATAGAATTTATGCCTTTTACCCTTGCCTTAACTTGAATGATTTCAATTTCAATAATATAAATTTCTATTATTTAAACTGGGATTTATTAAATATATATATATATAAATGTACATAAAACAATGTGTACATATGTATGTGTATATAACTAGACTAAACCTTTTTTAAAGTATCATATGTATCATATATATTATGCCATATAATGCTTATATTTACCTCTCTATCTAGCATATATGTATAATTCAGATTACTCATTTAATTCTGATTTACGTATACAAAAACATTTCGAAATTGATAAATGTAGTAAATAATCAGCTAATGAGATCTTTGATAATAAAACTGCTTCGTTTGCCAATTTTCCGGTCACTAAATTAAGACCCTATCAACACATACATACTTATATTTATTTACACTGATATATTTACCAAAAAAATACTATGACATTAATCAGTGTCAAATTTTTTATTAACAAAGTTTCCCATTCACAATAGAAAAAAAAGTAATCTGAACCGGTTTAGCGTTTTTTTCCTATTATTTAATTATTAATCGAAATTCTTAATAAACTAATCAATTTGTTGTGGTAGACTAAGTAACAGCAAATTAAATCCGTTGCAATGAATATTGCCTCATGCTTTTATTTAGCCCACGTATAATGACCAAACATAATATAAGAAACTTAATTAGCTTCTATGCTAAATTCTATATTACACTGGTTTGTCCCACATCCGCCTTAGTTCCTATTGTCGTTTAAGAGAGTAGTCAATAGGTCAGTCTCTGGTATCAAGCTGAGCAGCAGAATCTACTCTACAGATACACATATATATATAAACTATATGGGACGTATCAAATCAAAAAATGCATTATCTTAATCCACTTTTTTACCATGTACTAAATGTAGTTGAACTATGAACAAGTATTACATATTATGCACTGGAATGAATTCAAATGCAAAGTTTTTACCTGGTCATTCAATAGATTACGAGTAAAGCCATGGCATTAAGTTTCCAGATAACTAGTATTAAAATACATTGTTTACAACAGCAATATACATATATAAAAAATATGCATAAAAATTTACATTTCTTTCCGAAGTAAAATAAGTAAAATAATAATAGACAAAAGCGTTGTTTAAAATTATATTTGTATGCTGTAACAAATAAGGTCGATGAACCCATTAACAATGCCCTGCATTTATGATAGCAGCCGAAAGGGAGGCACAATTATGTATTCATCAACGATTATTTCGAATGAGCCATGTCCTAACGTCATGGTAATATATACATATAATATTAATTAACACAATCGACAATATGTCAAAAATAAAGCTTTACATCAGAGTGATTTTCATAAAATTCGTTGAAAATTTCCTTTGCAAAACGCTGAAAGAATCTTCCATATTCAGTCAACTGTCATGCATAGATAGCTATGTATATATTATATTCTATTTACCTATTTATTTATTTAATCTGATGGTATTTCAGGCTCTCTGTATAATGTGAACTACCTGAACATTGAAAGCTGCTCAAAGGTGCCCTGTTCTATGACTCGCAATTCCACGGTTAAGGTTACGGTGCTCTTCGATGATAATGGTAAATATATGCTGATAACGGGGGATCATGCATTTAAGGTCTCCAATGCGCTCTCACTAAGCTCGAAGTAGTCGGAAACAGAGCCGGCTAGGCGAGGGCGACAACAATACGTATGTATTTTATATGTACATACGGAAGAGTCGGGGGAGTGCACAATCGACAATGAATGGGGGGAATTGAATCGTGTGAATTGTCGAAGAAGAAGAAGACTRTCGTAGCCGGCGATAATGTGCCATAAAAATAATTGATCAAACGGGTGTGTAAATCAAAATAATACCCAGTAATTTTGCATTATACGACATCATTTATGGTATATACGTAGTACTACTTGTTCATATGTATGTATGTGAATGTGTGAGTGTGTGTTACCAAAGATAAGTAATACCCTACTTATAGAGTATAAATGTACATATAGAAGCACTTGACTGCCATGTAGCTAGGAAAGTTCTTAATGCAATCGGCGCTAGCGATATTATTGATCTCGATTGTATAAATAGAATAGAATAGAAATGAACCTTACCTGTGTTTTGATTATTCAGCACAATCATGTTTCTTTTTGTTTTGCAAATTTCTTCTATTGCGATCTATAATTTAAAATTTGAAGTGCCAAGTAAATTTGTATTTGCGTAAAAAAAATGGGAATACTGTTAGTATTAGCAATCTTTCTGTAAAAATTTAAGATCAATTGAAGTGAACTAATTAAGAAACTGTTATAAATTGATATCACTAATCAGAGCTACAGATCGAACATTTATAGTATAGAATTTGAATTTCATTAAATTGGAATCTAATCGCGCTCAAATTGCAGGTAATGGCGTTTCGTTCTTGAAGCACGAGGTGCGTTGGGTTTTCACCTACTTGAAGACCGAGGCGGCCATATCTCCAGATCCTTGCGATGGCGATCACAACTGCATATTGAATGTAAATGAGAGCAAAAGCTATTGGGCCAATATCTTCGTTAATCCCACATTACCCGTGGTATGTGTGATAATAATTAATTTGATTGGATTATAATCCAAGAATCTTAATTGACTTTATTCCGTCTTGTAATTTGCTTACAGATGCGGGGCAGTATGCTATGGGAGGCTAAAGATGAAAACAATAAAAATCTCATTTGTTTTGAGGTCCCCGTTGTGATTACAGTATAACAACATACGCTCACACACACACATAGGCATAGATATAGCGTATATCTGTGTGTTTGTGCAATGCAGATGTACATACATATTTATGATACTTGTGTAAAATATAATAAAATAATTGGTGCATGCAAAAACAATAGCAATCATTAGTGGGGCACCAAGAAGAACTACACACAGACACACAGCTTCACTCACACGCACACATGCGTCCTTTAATGATACTTTGCATGAATGAGTACTGCAGGAAGAAGTAGGAGCTGAGCAGAAACATAAATATTGCGATCTTTTGTTTTTGGCACCGAACAGCGCTGCGCTGCCAGCGGCTAAACGAAGAAGCGACGACACAATTGGAGCATGAGCGAACGCCGTGAGAGCCGACGGCAACGAACGAGCGGCGACGAGCGTGAACGAGCCGCTACTCAGTAACCGAGCGCACACGAAGCACGTTCGGCCGTTCAGCATCCAGATGCATTGCAATTGGCTGTTAGCTCAGTGTGTCAGTCAGTCTTTGTGGGTGCAGCGCGACGGTCGTGTGAGCACAAAAATTCTAATTAAGGAGTTGACATAGTCGAAGTTGCAGTTGTAGTCGCAGCAACATTAAACGGAAAACCGAAAAGATTAAATCGAAGCTTCATTAACTAATAACGCACAAGAGACGATCGATCGCTCATAGGCAAAAAGCCCTGCGCATTGTGTGTTTTCGGGGTGTTGCCAGATTGTTGGCGTTCTGGGTGGTGGTGTTGGAGCAAGTGCGCCAGTTGAGCTCGTGGTTTCTGGTGGTTGCCAGAATCATTTCACTTATTGTGCCTCAAGTGTAAGTACAAAAACAAAAGCAATACACACTGCTCTGATGTGCTCTGCGCCGCTCTGCTCCGCTCTGGTATGCTCCGCTCTGCTCGTTTGCTTGCCATTTGCGCAATTTGGTCGGCGTAAAATGAGATTGCCTTCGTGCTAATTGCGGCAATCGGTGGGGGTAAGTGTGTAAGTGGGCCGGACCGGGGCGGCGGGTAGCTGGGGTAGCTAAAGATGGGGATGCCATGGTGACATGCAACGCCACACAGGCAATGGCCATGGCAGGCAACACTTACTTGTGAGCGCTTCATGTCCATCAGCTCTGTACTGCCTGCCGTCTATGGCAAAGTCTACGCCGTCATACTCTTTGCAACGGAAGTAATGCGGCACCCATTGTCATATCCCATTGTATCCAATGCCTCGAACCTGAACTTTGTGAACAACTGCAAAATTAGCGACTAGAATTCGAAACCTCTTGTTCCACCCGKTCGCTCGCTCGCCTGTGCACATGCTCAGCTGAGTGTTAAAGACCCATAAATGGCAAATGAATCCCTCTGAGTGTCCAATGACAAATTGGCGCATGTTGAAAAATAAAACAAAAATCGACAGCTTAAACTGATCTCTTTATTAT